CAAATCAAAATGACCCTCAGATTTTCCCTTACACCCATCAGAATGGCTAAGATCAAAACCTGAATTGATAAAACATGCTGGAGAGGATGTGGAGAAAGAGGAACCCTATTCCATTGCTAGTGGGAATGTAAACTTGTACAACCACTTTGGAAATCAATCTGATGCTTTCTCAGACAATTAGAAATAGTACTACCTCAATATCTAGCTATACCACTCCTAGGCATGTATCCAAAAGATGCTCAAGTATACAAGGACATTTGCTCAATCATGTTCTTAGCAGCTTTATTCGTAATAGCCAGAATCTGGAAACAACCCAGTTGTCCCTTAGCTGAGGAATGGATTTAGAAATTTAAGTATATTAACAACAATGGAATATTACTCAGTAAATAAAAACAAGGAAATCATGAAATTTGTAGGCAAATAGTGGGAACCAGAAATGCTCATCCTGAATGAGGTATCTCAGAAACGGAATTACACACATGGTATATACTCACTTATAAGTGGATATTAGACATATAATATTGGATAAAGATATTAAAATCTGAACACCTAGAGAAGCTAAACAAGGAGGACCATTCTAGGTAAGATGATCAATCCTTATTCAGAAGGGCAAAAAAGATAGACATCGGAATAGGGAGAAAACAGGGAACAGGATAGGAGACTTCCATAGAGGGTCTCTGAAAGACTCTACCCAGCAGGGTATGGAAGCAAATGTTGAGACTCACTGGCAAACTTTGGGCAGAATGCAGGCAATCTTATGAAAGAAGGGGTTGATGAAATTCCTGGAGTGGACAGGAGCTCTACAAGGAGACCAACAGAGCCAAAAAATCTGGGCACAGAGGTCTTTTCTAAGACTGATACTGCAACCAAGGACCATGCATTCAGGTAAGCTGGAACCCTTGCACAATGTGTAACCCATGGCATCTCAGTGTCTAAGTGGGCTCCCTAGTAGGGGGAACAGGGCCTGTCTCTGACATGAACTCAGTGGCTGGGTCTTTGATCACCTCCCCCTGAGTGGAGGTGGGGAGCAGCCTTATCAGGCCACAGAGGAAGACAATGCAGCCAGTCCTGATGAGACCTGATAGGCTATGTAGGGTCAGATGGAAGGGAAGGAGGACCTCCCCTATCAGTGGACTGGTATAGGGACTTTGGAGAAAATGAGGGAGGAAAAGAGGGATTGGGAAGAGATGAGGGAGCAGGTCACAGCTATGATACAATGTGAATAAATTGTAATTAATAATAAAAATTAATAAAAATAAAAAGACATCGTGCATAGATGTAATAGCTGCATTTCATTATTTTGATCACAAAGTTTATCACTTTGGAATAAAAACTATAAGATTTCTGCCAATCTATTTGAGTCACAACATAATCAGAATACTTTTCCTACTAATCTATGCTTTCAAAGCTCCACATTAATTTCCGAAGTCTTCATTAGTCACTTGTTATTAGGAAGAAATTTAAGTGTTCCACCTAAGACTTCTCAAAAACTAAGCTTCCTTTCAGATCTCACCTTATTTTATATTGCTTTGGTTTTTTGAAAACATTTGTGATAAACACACTCTATTATTTTGTGTTCTATTATTTTATTTCTCTAGTATGTAGAAATTCTGACCCAGAAAAATTGTTCCGTGGCCCACAAGCATATATTAGGTTTTACTGTTTGCCTCTATTTAAGAGGACTTCTTGTCATTTCTTTATTTCCCAATTGTCATTGTCAGTACATGTGAAGCACACTGCTTACGAGAGGCCTTCCACTCTCAGTGCAACTACATTAATTGAGTCACTTCTGAACAACACTTACTTCCATACCCAGAAGAATGAATACCTCAGTAAAAAGTTTAACAAGTCATAGAAATTTCTATATATGCAAATGAGGACATGACTTGGGTTTATAATTCACTATTACTGAGCCATTTTGTATCTCAGTTCTTTGGTAATTGTAAACAATGAAGGCCATTCAGAAAGTTCAGCGATGGTCAGAAGTCACCATGGTGAGTGTGTAGACAGTGAGGTCTCAATAAATGGTTTGAAAATAATTATGCTCTACCCATTAGCAAAGAAGTTGTGACTTGGAGGATTCAGGTAGCCACTATCTCATTTTTGAGGGAGAAGTGAAATCTAATTTGTTAAATTCTTTAATCTCATTCATACTAGCTGTCAAAGAAAAACAATGAAGTATGAATACAACAAACATAAATGTATTTACAGTAAAATTATTATTATTGTGATGCATTTTAAGAAATAGGTATGAGATGAGAAAAACAGAATAAGCCAAAATAATTAATAAAAATATTTGTGTAAGCATTATTTAAGAAACTCTCTGACATAGAAAATTCTGGATAACAAAAACGCATCCATTCTTTTTTTGAAGACTTCATGATGGTTCAGAAATCTGGATAGTGATGGTAATTTGGGCTTATTTTAATGAGAAGTAAAGATGAAAAGAAAGGGTTTGATAAAAATTAGAAATTTCTGTATTCCAACACACAATCACTTGCATAGTAGAAAAACACTCAAAATAAAGACAATTCTGCTATGGGCTTGTTTTAAAATTATGCAACAAAACAAAAGCTTCAACAAAGAAAACAGTAGATCCTGCTGTTCAAGCCCTCACAATATGCTAAGTATTATGTGGCCTGCTTTACACCTTTCTTCATTTTACAAAGAATGAACTTCTACTTAGAAGCTAATTTACTCATGGTCATATGACTTGTCTGTGATAGTAGACCTGGGATGTAACAATTAGAGTCTTTCTGATCACAAAGAATACATATTACACTGTTATTGCAACAGTGAAGGGAACATCTAGAAGAGTCCAAAGGCTCAAAGAGGTTTTCACAGTTGTGGCCCATAAACTACCCTCTAGATTTGACTTACAAAGAAGAAAAGAAATGCTTTAGTTTTAACAAGGTGACACGTTTTGAGAGAGAGAGAAAAAGCTCAAGGAAAAAGAGCTTTCAGGGCCATGAAAGCGCAGTTTTTAAAAATGTTAAAGTTCAGAGGATCTCTACAGAGTAAAAGTCTAAACCGACTATTTTGGTTGAGTCACTAAGAGTAAAGTTCTCCTATACCCTGAATCCCCTTATTCTAGCTGGGCTACTTTATCATACCTCAGTGAGAGAGTATATACTTAGCGCTGCTGAGACTTGATGTTTCAAGGAGAGTTGGTTAGCCTTGGGGACTTCTCCTTCTCTGAGAAGGAGAAGGAGAGGGGGAATGGTGAAAGGGAGAGTGAGTGTGAGGCTGGGAAGAGAGGAAGAAGGGGGCTGGAATCAGGCTGTAAAGTGATTAAATAAGTAGATAGGTAGGTAGATAAATAAATAGATAAAAAGATAGATTGGTAAATAACCAATTAGCCTATTTATCTTTACACTTGAAATCTTGGTAAAGTCAGCTTCTATTCCAAGATGATGATTATAAAAACACTTACTAATAAATTATTTTGACCTGATATTATTTTAAATGTTTTCTATTTGATTCTTACAGTAATTCTACACAAAAGTATCATCCCTTTAGGAGGGACTAGGTTATGTTTGATGTCTGAGCTCACAGTCTTTACATATATAGTATATTATGCTGATGTCGGAGATTAACAATAACAATGATTAAATACTTTATCCAATCGTTTTGTTATTTAATATGATCTTTTTCTAAAGGGCTTATCTTAAAATTTCACTTGCTAAGAATATTTAAACATTGTTATTTAAAGATAAACATAGGTCTTGAAGAAAAGCTTTGATACTCTGTATAGTGAGAAAATAGTATTTGGTGGTTTTCATTCTAGATTGTTCATATTTTACCTATAGTAGTTGAAATTGATGTTCACTGTATAAGATATATAACATTATTCATACATGTGTGTGCCATACTTGATATCTATGTAATCTACATATTATAACAAGAACCCAGAAATTTATATTTGATAAGTAATTTTCTTTATGTCAATAAACCTAAAATATTTTTAAATCAAACAGAGAAACTAACCAGGGTCTGTAATCAAGTAATAAATATTCAAGAATTGTAAGAACTTCAAAATCTGGGAATATGTGCAAATTAGATATATTGAAATAATTCTTGTAATAGTAAGCCAATATTTATCACAATTAAGTGTATGCATAAATGGATATAAATTCTTACAATCTGCCAAAGTCCAAGTACCTGGATTTTAAAAGTGAAAGCTCCAGAATAATTTTCAAGTTTTATCTAGAAAACATGCAATAGAATAGTAATTTATATATATAAATATAAGATCAATAAGTATTCAAGCTTTCAAATGAATAATTATAATGCAGTATGACCTTGTATGTAGACTTGAACTTCACTGTTTCTGAACATTGAAAATTAACACATACAATATGAAATAAAACATATTACATGATATTATAACATACTAAACAATATTTCAAATTGCCTGAAATATAAATTAAGTGAAGACTTGGAAAAACATGGATTATTTCCATAAAACACTTCAATATGAAGATATGTTTCATGTTTACTTTTTTTCAGGTTTATAGCTACTACACATTTTTCTTAATACAGATTATGTTTTTGTACAGCAAGCTGTTTTGTTCCTAAGTTAAATGTGAAAGAAAATAGACAGAAGGGGCAGGTATGACTATAAGTTCACCTGTAACAGATGTCCATTTGACACTTAAAATTCTGATATATTTGAAAATTGTCTTTAAAAAGTAATTTTCTCTATAATATTTATTAATGACAAAGGCCCAAATTCTCTGTTTTAATATGCAAATTTAACTTTTAAAAGTTATCCTAAAAACCTTTTGAAAAAATATCAAGAAATTCAGCATGCTTAAGAGCATGGAGGAGCGACGAATCTTCATTTACATAATATAATTAAGGAATAGCGATGACATTCATTTTAGAAATATTTTAATTCAGTCTATATCAAAGAAGACATGTAAAGGAAGGAAAGAGTATGTTTGTGGGTAGCACTGGTGGCTGGCATCCCCCCATCTGTAAAATAATGCTTGCTGGCATTAGCTTCCATTAATTCGTTTGTGATTGCTAAATTAATTCTGAAGGAAACCAAAGCTTACTTGAGGATCCTGCTGCATATCTGTGTGCCTGGCTTTTTTTTTCTTTGTTCACAGACAAAGCGTTTCCACTGGTCATGGAAAAAAGGTCTAAATCCGTGTCTTCTCTGCTTACAAGTCTTGCCTGGGAGCAATGGGAGAGAATGTATACAATCATGAAACAAAATATGGCATTTTCTGAATGCAGCTCACATTACGCCAAATAAACAAACAGGCTCTGTCAAACAACCTTCTTCAGAATGATACCACAATCCTTTATTGCTGCCCAGGCAGAACAAATGTACTATGTCAAAGCATTTTTTGCAAATAAGAGCCGATTTTAAAATTGAGGCTTGCTATTTGAGTCTGTACAACAAAAGAAAACATTTTAGTACAGTAATTTTGATGAAAATCAATCTTAAAAGCAGCCGGTGAAACTTTAAACAGCTTAACATCACTTACTGACCAAGTATATTACTTAATACTAATTAAATGTGAGATGTCATATTAGATTATTTTTCCAGTATCTGTATTTATACTGAGTGTAAAGCTATTTTCTATCAACAGTCGTCGAAATGAATTTTCCATATTTGTTTACTATTGCATCGCAGACTATATATCCTTTCATTTTAACTGTTATCAGTGTAAATTATTACATTTTAAATGGCCTAATTTTGGGGTAATGTTAAATCTATAGTAATTTTAAGACATATTTCATGCTCCCAATGGATTTTTCAGTTCATCTAAAATTACTCCTTTACCTTTTTTTTAAAAAATATGTTATGTTTATACCTAGCAAAAATAGAACTGATTCTATTACCTGTGGAATCTTATCCTACAGAATGTCTGGTATAATTAGGAATTTATAAAGACTGAGCTTTGAAGTGGGAAAAATGCTATTATTAAAAAAAAAAAAAAGTGGATAAGATTTACCCAAACCACTGCATAATTGGATCCCTGTGAGAGAGTATTGTCCTAAATGTTTGATGAGAGGAAAATTTGAATGTAGTGAAATAAAGGCAAGTAACCACCACTGTGGGAGCAGCCTTACCAGGCCACAGAAGAAGACAATGCAGCCACTCCTGATGTGATCTGATAAACTAAGATCAGAAGGAAGGAGAGGAGGACCTCCCCTATCAGTGGAGGTGGGGAGGAGCATGCATGAAGAAAGGGGAGGTAGGGTGGGACCGGGAGGGGAGGTGGGAGGGGCTTATGGGGGGATACAAAATGAATAAAGTGTAATTAATAATAATAATAATAATAATAAAAGAAAAAAGTTATCTCTGTGTAATGAGTCACAGAGTCCCAAGAAACCAGAATCTAAGTGTTCTCTTTCGCTTTTAGATATTACTTCTTCCCCTCTGCCCCCTCCTCTACCTTCCTCCCCTCCTCTACCATCTTCCCCTCTCCTACCTTCCTACCCCTCATCATCTTCCTCTGCATCTTCCCCCTCTTTTTTTCTCCCTCTTCCTTGTTCCCCTTTTCCTTCCCCCGTTCCTCCTCTCCCTTTCTTCCTTGGAACTCTGTCTCCTCTTCCAGGCTTCCTGGGACTCTCTAGTGGTAAGATTACAAGCACACATCATATCTGGCTTGCCATTTTCTTTTCCTTTTTTTTCCCACCTTTTCACTGTCACTCAAAAATTACTAAAAATGTTGTTTTCTCAAATAAATTTAGTTTTAAAGTTACATTTTTGCTTGCTTATTTTGTGTAATACATTTAAAAATGTATACATTATGGAGTAGGCCAAAACACATACTGACATATGAATTAATGAGAAAATATATCAAGTAAGCTTTCCACATACAAACCGTTGGGCCACATCTCAAATTCAAACTATAAAATATAAAAAAATCAAAATTTAAAGTTAAATTTAACAGGAACAATAATTTCACAAAAGTGCCATCTGACATCTTAAATTTAAACTTACAAACTCTTTTTGATTTACTTCATGGGAAGACAAGTGGGATCCTGACAGCCTTCTCCTTCAAAGCCTAGAAATCTCACACCTAGGTTCAATCCATGTCTGTCAGTGAATCTGCTATAGCATATATATTATTAATGTTTAAATTCTATTTCTGAAATATTGGACTTATTTTGGTCTATAAACTAACAGAGATATTAACATCCATCCATCTATCATCTATCTATCTATCTATCTATCTATCTATCTATCTATCTATCTATC